GAACAGATGTCGATATTCCCGCTCACTTTGTCTCAGGTTTACAGAAACTAAAAAAACCTACAAATACTCTCGGTCTTTTTTATTTATTTATTTATTATTATACACATTTTTTTTACTTTCTTCCCCCTTTTTCTCTCTAATTATTCGAATTTTTCGCCAGTCACGTGGCCGAATTTAGCGCAATTTATTTATTTATGGAAAATCTTAATGAACGATTCTTTCGCCAATGTATTTTTTTTTTAAATTAAAAAAAAAATTAAATCGATGGTAAGGTTTAATTTATAAATTTTACTTTCGTTCGTGGTGTATGTGTGTGTGTGTGTGTGTTTTTTTCCCCTTAGTTATATCTAAAATTGTTAATATGTATTCAGTACATGATGGGGGTATTATTGATGACGGAGGGCTTTTCTCTACCATTCATTGGTCGATTTATGAATGACATCAACAGACTTTTTGTTCTCACAACGTATGTGGACTCGAAAGAAGAGGAATTAAAATTTTCTGCACTTCTTCTTAGACAATGGTATATAATGAAGAGAGTTTCTTCTCTATTGAATTTTTAAAATAGATATACTCAAAAGTTAGTTTTGTTTTTTTATTTTATTTCTTTTTTTTGGCCTGTCTCTCGTCCTTTTTTCTACATATGTTTACTCAAAAATAAATTATGACTATAGACGAATAATTTCGTCAGTACTAACACAACGACCCTAAGAAGGACTTACATAAAAGTTAATAAAAAATATGATCAATTTTAATGATTTATTTCAAGTCATTCTCTTTAGAAATTCTTATATTAAGTTTTTTTTTTATTATAACATGCTTCAAAATGATAACTTTCTTAATGAAAATATATTCCTGGTATTCTTTTATTAAGATTTTAAGTTTATTTACTGAAAAAAAAAGTTTAGATTTTATTATTAAAGTATAGAAATATTTGCATATTAAGTTATTTATATTATTATTATTATTTAATATTTTGATTTCTTTTAAAGTAATAATTCGACTGGTTTTATTCATTTTCTTTCAACTTTTACATCTTTATTTTATTTCTAATTAAATTAGTTCTTCTTAAAATCTTCATTATGAATTAATTTACTTTTAACTTCTTATTCTTCTCATATTTAGTAGAAAAATTAATGAAGAATGCATTCAGATTTTTATATGAAATTCTTATTAAAGTTCAGGAATATTCATTAATATTCCCATTTGTTTATATATATATAACCTTCATATCTAGTTGTGGGTTATAAATACATTCGTATACTAGATAGGGATGTATATAGATCCTTACTATACTGTAATAAATACACGTAAGTATACATACATATTCAATGATATGGATGAAGATGAGATAAGGATATATATATGCATTGTAAGGCTTTTATTACTTTATAAGGGTGTTATATCTGTATATATTTTTGTAGTATATTATATACTATTATTAATAGAGATATAATGATATATATACTCCTACAATAATTATAAACTGTAGAATCTTTTAAATACAAGAATCTAAAGTTACTAAGGTAGTGTTATATATTTTTGAAGAATTTTTATCCCTATATATTATCTTTTATATGTTTTAAAAGAAAATAGGTTAGAAATAATGGGAAGTTTCTTTTTGCATACGTAAAATGTTATCACGTTTTTTTTCCTCCCTTCGTACGTTTAGATCTTTTACTGTAAAGTTATTAGTTATAGATAACTTCTTATAAAATTTCACTTGGCTTTTAAAACATTTTTATATAAGCATAAATGCCTTTCGAGAGATCATCAATCTTCTCACCTTCGTTTTATCCGGTTCGAGCCGAGAAAATTTTATACAACTAGAATTATATAGGTTGATTGTCTCTAGTAACGATAATTATACTATCTAGAATATAGTTTGAGTAATTTCAGAAGAGTTAGACGACGTAAAAATTAATTTGAAAACCCTGTAAAGAATTATAATATGTCAGAACATTGATAATTTTCGTAAAATAACCTTATAAAAATATACAATTAATAGATACATAAACGATTACTTAGCTATTAATACTCATACAAAACTAGTTGACCATCGTTCGGAATTACCAATCGACTAATCACTACGTATAAAAAAATCGATCGATCACGTAAGTAATACATATAAATAACTAGTTGATCGATCATTACGGATAAAAGAAAGAAAAAAAAAAAGAAAACTAATTTATCTACACTAAAATTCCTATAAATGGACACTCGACTAATCACTAAACATAAAAAAACTAATTGATCAAGTTAAAAGTAGGTTTATACGAGACGTAGCCTACATACATAACTAATAATTGCATGTAAAAATTCACAGGAGTGATGTAAAAATGAATATCTTAAACGAAAAATAAATATTTTAAGAAGTCTAACCCAACGTTCAATAACGTTTAAAAAGAGTTACCTTCCGAAAAGAACGATTAAAAAGATAAGGTTCTCTAAGGTATTTTTTTAAAAAAGAATGCTACCACTTTGCTACACTTTTATTTTATTTTATTTATTTTTTTTAAAAAAAAAAACCTTTATAAGTAGAACACAATCTTTTATCTTCTTACCTACTCTGGAATGTTCGAAAATAGGAAATTTCTCATTAAAAAAACAGAAAAAAAAGTCAATAAAATGTAGATTTTTATTCGATTTAACAGTATTATTTTAATATTTTATTAATATTTTAACTTACTTTCTATTATTAAATTAATAACAAACAAAGAAGGAGAAGGAAACTAACTGGTATAAACACATACACATCCTTATCGAACTGAATAGGAAGAAAATGGAAACCGTTTAAGTAGGAAAAAATAAAGTATTTTTAATGAATTTTTATTTTATTTTATTATTTTATTTTTTGCATTTGTGATAAACAGTTTGTATATGAAAGTGAAAATGATATTGAATTCCTTTCACGCATTTTTATCTTTGCTGATAACAGCTCTTTTCTTAGCATCTAATACAATGTTCTTTAAATGAGTGATTTTTATTTTTGCTTTTTATTTTATTTTATTTTACTTTACTTTTTTTTTATTATTTTATTCCCGCAAAGCACTCTACTTGATTGTAATTCTTGGCAGTATAAACAACTGCAAAAAGTACACAATGCTTAATTAATTATCACGTTTAAATATATTTTTTTATTTATTTAAATTTCGCAGCTATTACATTTCATAATTTCGATTCGAATCACTCTTAATTTTGTGAGTAAAAAAAACAATTGCCCCCCAAAAAAATTCCCCAAAGTAAAATGTCTGAAGTCGATACGTGGGATCCTTTAATTAATTCAAATTTGTAAGGACCCCACGAAGGTATAACGTGTATTGCTAGGGGGGTGATGTAAAAGTGACAATCATAACGAAGACAAATTTATGCATACCAAAAGTATTGTTTATCTATAATTCTAATACAACTTATTTCGAGTTTTCGCGAATTTTTTTCTTTTTTAGTTTAAATTTTATTCCTAAAGTCTCTGTAGGGAACCAACACCCACATTATCTTTCTCCCCCTCCCTCCCCTTAAGTACTCCACAGCTTTCGAGTTTAGTTAGATACGATTATATTTTTCTTTGATAACGAATCTTTGTTATGAAGTTTTCCACAAAAATAAAGTCGAGAAAAATACATTTAAACTTATGTTTACATTAATATAGAAAAGTAGTAGTCAGCAAAAGTTTTCTTAATGTAAAGTTATGAAAATTGTCTGGGAAATTTGTGAACTTGTTACAAACACACACTGAATTTCCCGGAAAGATGTAGCCTGTATACCCACTTCTTTCCAAAAAAAAATTTGTTTTTTTCCTTTTTTAAATGATACTTTTGGCAAGTTCGACTTGACTTTACTTCGTTTTTAAAACTAACACTACTCATTATTTTGCCATTTCTTTATTTTTCTTGCCATTTCTTTTTTTTCTGATTAGGAAAAAATATGAATAGAAAGAACAGATGTGTTCGCATTCACCCACGCATCTTATTTATAAATACATAAAGAGTCAAAAACTCTCAAATTTTTCCATTTTTATTCGCTCTTGTATCCAATTAATTCGTCTCTTTCGAATTTAGGACGTAACAGAAACTCTAAATCTCTTAATGCTGTCATTTATCCTGATTGCTGCTACATGTATATTTAATTAAGCTTTTATCTACTACCGAATCTAAAAAGTGAATATCTTTAATATTGCATTTGATTAATCAAACGGCAGTTCTTATTATTTAATTTTATATTTAAGTATTTTTATTTTTGTGCCATCTTCCGCATTAGAGAAGAGTATGATGCTGGAGATCACGCTTATAATAAAATATAGCAAACGCTGCGTTATTGTAGTGGCAGGGACTGGCTACTATTGTGCATCATTTACGACAAATTCAGCTGATATTATTTCTTAAGAGTAGCGTACAGTACATCACGTACAGTATACCGCTAGAAGCCAGCGTATAACTTCACCCCGCTCCGGATGTGTTTTAAATAAAATTATTCTGCGCCACTCGTAGAGGTAGTGCGGAGATGATTTGCATATCCGGACGTTTTGCATGATTTTTAAGGGTGCTTTCTCCCCATCTAATGCCGATTTAAGTCGGGTGACTATTTATAGAAAGTAGAGAGAAGAGTTTACTCCCCTCTCCACCTTCTCGTAAAGGCAGGGAGAGAGTTTATGATTGACCAAGTTTTGTTATTTTTCTTGCTTCTTCTTTCGTCCGTTTGGAACCTTTGACCGCTAGTACCGTATAAAGAAAGTACCTAAACGCCGCAGAAATGTACTGGTCGATTGCTGCACCAATCAGACAGCGCGGACTGTCAAAAACGTGTAGACGTACATTGGCCACCAGCAGATGGAGCCGTAGATGCTCGAGTAACGGCACTTTCACGACATCGTGTAAAACGCGTAGAAACGAGACATGTGACAATAAGGTGTATGCTCTTCCCCGTTCGGGACAAGAAAGGTCGTCATGTGCGCCATGGTTGCGACCAACGATCAAAAGTGCAAACTGAGTGCCAGAGGGTGACGAAAGGTAGGAGAGATTTCTGATACTTTGAAAAAGAGAACTAAACCGTCCGAAACAGTGATTCGTTGGTTTGCGAACCGTGCCCATGAGGAGGAAGTGTCAACGCCCGTCCCCGGATCGGCCAAAGAGTCTCTGGTCCATTGGCTGGTCGCTACATTAGAGGGCCTCGCCGGGGACTTGCGAAAGAGAGTTAGCTACCCTCGTAGGCGGGAGCCCAGGGTAGACACCAGCATCCTGGAGAGGGAAGGGGTCGGAATGTTGGACGTGTTGAGGGGTTTGAAGAGCCTGCTAAAGGTCAGCCGAGTTCACATAGATAACAATGTATTTCGCCTTCACTACACCGTCACAGTTCTTGTTCTTTTGGCCTTCTGCATCATAGTCACCACCAAGCAGTACGCCGGTGAACCTATCAATTGCATTCGTAGCACAGACATCCCCGAAACGGTGATCAACACTTTCTGTTGGATCCACACTACTTTCACCATCCCCGGAGCTTACAATAAGATAGTTGGTAAAGAGGTGCCCCATCCAGGTATAGATGCCTCTCAAGATGCCTCCAATTTTAAATATCATCGCTACTATCAATGGGTATGTTTTATGTTGTTTTTTCAAGCCGCCCTTTTTTATATACCACGTTGGTTGTGGAGAATGTGGGAGGGAGGAAAGATCCAGGCTTTGATGATGGATTTGGATGTGGGATTATGCGGAGAAGCAGAAAAGAAGCAGAAGAAGAAACTATTAGTGGATTATCTCATGTGCAGTTTAAGGCATCACGACTGGTACGCTGCCAGATATTTCTTGTGCGAAGCCATTGCCTTCAGCAATGTGGTGGGACAGATCTTCCTTATGGATAGATTCTTCGATTGTGAATTTCTCACCTATGGCCTAGAAGTGATTAAATTCTCCGAAATGGACCAAGAAGACCGGACGGATCCCATGATAAGAATATTTCCACGCGTCACCAAGTGCCGTTTTTATAAATACGGCGCGTCTGGCAACGTAGAAACGCACGATGCCCTTTGTATCCTACCTTTAAATATTATCAACGAGAAAATATACATATTTCTCTGGTTCTGGTTCATCATTTTGGCTGCCCTTACGGGTATCGTGCTGATATTTCGTCTAGTCATCGCAGCCTGTCCGCCAGTTCGGGTCTACCTACTCAATATGAGATTTCGGGTGCTGCACCTGGACCACGTACACACGGTAGTGCGCAGGGGATCCATAGGTGACTGGTTTCTCATATACATGCTAGGACAAAATATAGATTCTGTTATATTCAAAGAAGTTATCGCCGATATGGCTAAGAAAATGACCACCGAACCCAAAGAATCCGCATGACCAAGAAAATGAGTAGCATGATAAATTTTTACACTAAGAGTGCCTATATAAACACAATAATTCTTCCGTCATGTTATGTACTTTAGAACATAAGTATATAGCCTTCTCTTCTTCAAACAATTTTAAAATTACTTCAGGACTATTTAAAGAAAAATTATTACTAAAAAAAAAAAAAACCTTAATTCAGGCACTGCCATCACGTTTCTATTTCATTCAAAGATTTTTTTCCCTTCTAAATAATTATGTATATATATACATATATATATTTAAAAAGTATATATAAATATAGAACCTTCTCTTTAAAAAAAAAAACAACAACAACAACAACAACAAAAATTAGGCTCGTTCGCAAAGTAAGTACCATATTGTGAATTTATTTATGAATTTTTTTATATTTTATACGGGATAAACTAACACAAAACAATTTAGGATTTTTATAAATGGTTTATCTGCATTCAAACTGCCAATATTTGTTTTAAATTTGCATTTTACAGACACAGGATCTTAAAGAAAAACTGAAAATAATACATGAAATGTGATCAGATACGTAGTAATATAGTATTAGAATGAAAATTTCGTATGTATTTTAACGCGTACAGGGGTGCGTACTGTACTGTACAACTTTGCGAACGATCCACGATTATATATATATATATATATATATATATATATATATATATACATATACACACAGCATATACATATACATACATAAAGTTGTTTCTAGTAATATCTTACAAAGAAATAAACCCCCAAAAAAACAAAAAATATATATAATAATAATAATGTTTCCACACCGTTTTCTTATAACTATGGGCAGCTGTAGTTATGTAGGTTTGAAAAAATTTAAAATGAAACATTTCTCGATTGATTATTATAAATTATATATGAAAAAATTATCTTTCAAATGTTAACAAATAGGTCTATGCAAGATGTAAAATAAAATAAAAGAATGTTGGAAATAAGCATGTGAATGAAATATTTAAAAAAAAAGTTATCAAATGTAAAAATTCATATATATTAAATAAAATGTTATCGAAAATTTCAGTGTGTTTATTATTACCATAAAAAACCATATATAAATCGATTTTTTAACATCCCATAACTATTGTAGTATTAGGCCTACATTCTAGTGTCTTTAATCAGAACACATATAGGCCTTCCTGACAGCTGTTACGTTACGAAGGGTTATCCCCCATAGTTACTGATAACGATTATATTTGATGGACTGTTACTGCCGTAGTAACTGTTGATAGATGTTATCATCGGATGATCTAGTGAAGAATATCCCCACCCTTATTGTTACAGTCAAACTATATTTTTGTCTGTGCAGTAGGCACATCATAAATGATTGGATGTTACTATTGTAACAATACTGAGAAATAGATTGCCTGTTTGTCCTACTCTCCGCTCTTCGTATGAAACTTGGTGACATTTATGAAAAAATATAACGTGATTTATTAGTTTTATGCTAACAGGAAAAAAATTCTAGTTATACACTTGCATATATATATTTCATTTCCCCTATTAATTACATAGAGATTTCGATTTAGTAAAGTCTGTCAGTAACGTTATTCTAACGATAATAACTCCATAATTAGATGAAAATTCTATTATTTAAATATTCCCGAATAAATTTATAGCTTTATTTTATTAATATAAATTAGTATAAGAGATTAAAACAGGATAATTTTTCTATATGTTATTATTATTGTAGTAACACTCAATGCCTTAGAGGACCCGAGATAAAACGGGCCCTTTTCTCTTACATATTTAATAAAATAGTATTAATTTATAGGGGTGGAAACTATTATAGATTACGGAAAATATCCCATTTTACCCGCTGTCGAAGGCCCCGGTATAGGAGAGAAACTGGGAATTTTTCCTCCGTATCGGGCCTACTTTAAAACTCGAATAACTCCATTTTATTAATAAATTTTCAAACTTTTACAAGAAATAAAGCGCAGATCATTATCACATTATACTAAAACGGATATTCTATACATTTTACGGCCATTTAAGATTGATTTTTTTTTATTTATTTTAACACAAATAAAAAGGAGAACGTTAAACGAAATTATCGCTAGGATCTTAATTAAGTTCATTACGTTTGTAAAACTTTTTGACTTCCTTTTATTTTATTTTTTAAAGATCACATCGTGGCGTGTTTAACTCACATTAGCCTTTCTTATATATTATTATTTTTTTTATTTTCTAAGAATACGGATCCAAGAATTTAAATTTCGTTACATCGATCAGAATTATAAAAGCCTCGGATGATCCTCGTAATTTCTTTAATGCGCTTCTTTACGGAAGATAAATAATAAAATAACGGTTTGAAGTTGGGGGGAGGGAGAGAGAAATCTTATAAAATAAAGAAAATTGATATGGAGCTATCTACTTGCAGCTGGGGTCTCTACTAGATAATGTATAGCGCAGTATTGATATGCCGAAATCTGATATTTTTTAATACACTTATCAGATCTATGCTTGAATGGATTATCGATAGAATATATTGGATTTATTCTCTTCTCGTAACAGTTAAATCTCTTAAATATTATAATTTTTACGGTCTTAAACGTTATAAAATCGTTTAAGTTATAATCGTGTTCAATTCTTATCGTTGAAGTTCATTCATTCCTCGACTTTATTCCTTGATTTTACGCTCATTCTCTTTCTCTATTATGGCTACTACAACTAAATAGAGGATGGGTATTTAGATTAGTGTGGCCCTAAAGCAAGGCCTTTCCATTTACTAAATAATAATGAATAATTTATTTGAGAGTAGAGTGAGACCTTAGGTTATTATACCTTTCTGACCCTGTTTAAACGATTAAATTTTTATTATAATCATACTTCTCTTTACAATTATCCCAAATTTAATGGTTATAATTTTATTTTATATTTATATTAACGATAATCTAATCATGCTCCGAAATTACAGTCAATTTACCTTATGCCCAATTATAATTATTATAGGCCAAGCTTAAATATTACATAAATTTACTCAGTCATTGAGAAGACATTATATAATATTCTATTGCTTGAAATTAGATGATGCTTAAGAAATCTCTTACAAATTGTAATTATAATAATTTTCATTGATTATGATGAATTAATTATAATTAAAGATACCAAGCCATTACTTTTATGTTAAGATTATATTGATGATGATTATATTCTTCACCTATTACATGACTCGTCATCGTTAATGCTCGTTAATCAGTGTTATGAACAAGTTATGCTTACCCCATTTTATTAATCTATTTTCTCGATAAATTATGATAATGAAAGGAATATTTTTATGAGAAAATATCATTAATTTTCTTCCAATTATTATCTAATAAACATAATTTTTTTTAGATTATAATAATGAAAATTATCCGATAACATCAATACTCGAGATGCACACCATTAATCATGTTAATGATAATTATCTTATATATTACTTTTCTATTATTAAATTTGAGATTATATACGAGATTTTCCGTTCTATTTTTAGTTGTTTATATAATATTTACGTCCTAATTTCTCCTTAAAGATGGGCTAAAACTAAATTACTTTCCCGTCTGTTATATGGGATATATAACAAAGGGAAAGTATGGCGATCGATCAGAAAATGACCCACAAAATGTTTACATTTTTGGACTCAGGAGATCTTGAAACGTCGAGAAATGTAAAATAAAGTTAGGGGATTTATTTCTGTATGTATGGATGTTAGTGTATAGGGGGAGGGCACGATTTTGTTCATCCACTTTGAAGCTTCATAACTCGCCTGTATTTTGTCAAAAATTTCTGAAATTCTGTAGGTAATTTTGTATGTTATAGGGAAATTTTTCCAGAAATTTTCAGGGAAATCGGACGGTTGGTTCGCGAAATATGGCCCCACTCCCTAAATATCCCCCGAACTAATTTGACGAGTTAAAGGTAATGGGAGCAATTATTAGGGATGAAAACAAATAAAGAATGATAGAAAAGTTTATTTCTTATGGCTCTTCTCGATAATTGTTATTTTTAAAACACCCATTGCAAGTTATTCATGAATAATTTATAAAATAATATTAAATTTATTTTATTCGACATCATAGAAACATTACTTTATATAATTTATTTGCTATTTAAATATATTTTTCCCAAAGGATCTAGGATATAATTCTACTTAAACCACCGATGCTAACTATAATCCAACCCTATTATTAGACTGGAGACTATTAATCTCATTCATCAACTTTATAGATGAGAGCTTCTTGTGCTTACCCTACTTTATTTTATTTTATTTTTTTTATTAAGGCAAGACCCAGTTATCGTACAAAACTATTTTATCTCAAGGTTAGTAGGAGCAATAATCACAATTTAGATTGGTTTCCTGTACGGAAGAAACCCACTTTTAGTTAATTGCAATACAGACTCTGGGTCAATCTTTCCATAACAAACAGGGGTGAAGAAATAGAAAGTAATCTTACAACATGATTAATATCGCCTCCGTTAATATATCCCTTATGAGTTACCTCATTCTTGTTACACGTCACGAATTGGTGAAGCCTTATATATTCAAGTTAGACCTCATATCACGGTTTAAAACTTTATATGTATATATATATATATATATATGGAGTTTAGAAACAAATTTTTATCTTATCTATCTTCATATCACGTTTAACAACCACACAGCAAGGATATTTATGATCAGGATTTTGTCACTTGATCCTTATTCCTTTACTACGACACGTCTTTTATTCTTATTTTATTTGTTTAAGAATTCAAATAATGGCATGTGTGTGCGTGTTTTTTTTTTAAACTTAAATCATTTTAATTCGGTTGTTTTAACGTTTTCTTTGGCATCAAAATAGTTGAGAGCATATTATAAAAGAAAAGAACAATTTTATTCCCAAGAGATATAAATTGAAGTTACATTCGCAACCCGAGTAAAAACCCTAGAGAAATACCGAAAGAAACCAATTTATAAAACTTAGTTGCTATTTTGGCATTTTTCAAAATAAGTTCTCACTTAAATTAAATGAAGTTATTTTAATATATCTTGTATAATTTTCGCATGCTAACTTGCCACACGGGATTCTTCTTTATGCTTTTTTTTTTTTTATTTCCCTCCCTCCTTACCTTCGTATTGTTTTCTCAGGTTTTCTCCTCTCTCTCTCTCTCTCTCCTACTCTTTCTATAAAAATTGTTGCCTTATAAAAATATTATAGTTATAGAAAAACTTATATTTTATCAATATTTATCAAATAAACTTCAAAAATTTACTGATTTTAATGGAATAAAAACTTTGCATTCTCTTCATTGTTATACAAAATACATTATTAAAGGATGAGACAGAGATTATGTTTTTTTTTACGTTCTTATTTTAAATTTTTAAATATTTACTCTTTTTTAAAAAAAAATAAATTGTCCTTATATAAATTTTGATTTAATCATAAAATGTGAAGGTTGAAACTAAGTTTTTATCTATAAAATATGAACTAGAACTTAAAAAAAGAGCCGCATCTTTTGTGAGGTGGAGTATAGAGTGATACTAAAAAGTTTCTTTAGACTAAAAACTAAAACGTTTTGCTTCTTCCCTGAAAAGATATAGTCAAGAAAGAAAGAAAAAAAAAAAAAATTAAAAATCTTG